GTATTGGGGTTTTTTGAATTAGGTGGAACTCCCCTGTCTAGAAAAGGCTCAGTTGTTGGTAGATGTTGGATAGGACCTTAGGTTTCCTTTTGGAAACCTATCCCTAAAATATGTTGCCCCATAGGAGTTGTAGGCTCTGTTGCTCAAAGAGATTGCCTGGGTAAGTGAGAATATTTCCAGTAATTTACAATGTGGTCTTTAAAAAGTATTTGACACCTTCCTTTCTTTCCTTTCCATCGGGTTATGAAATTTAGCAATGGAGGAGGAAGCAAATATAGAACATTCTATTAAGGCCCAATACTGGGGAGGAAAAAACAGTTGAATCTGTTTCAAACCTGGGTTGCTTGGTCACTGTGGACCATGCATTGACCATTTTTCTACCCATGTTTTCTACCATCAAACTATTACTCCTGGTCCACACAGGCCAGGGAACTTGTTGTTAGCTTGTACTGGTTTTTAAAAAAACGGTTTAAAAAGAGTTCAGATGTGAGTTTTTCATCATTCCCAAATAAAAGTACAAGTAACTATTGAACCAGTTACAAAGATCTAATTCCATGTGCAATAATGATACAGAGTTTACTGTCTTCTCTTGTTTTATGGCAGTAATCTCCATTTCTAAGTGCTTTAGTCCATTTTGTTCTGTTAATTCTAAAATAAAGAAAATCTAAGACTATACTATGCAAAAATACCAAATCTCCGCTGTGCTTAGATTCATTTTCTGACTCCTTGTTAGAGGAAAGTGACATGAATTCTCAGTAGATACTTCTTCCAACTGAATATCTTTATGTTATGAGTAAGAGCATACTTAAACAATGAATTAAAACAATAAGAAATTAAAATCATGTCTGGGAAATAATTATAATCCTGATTCAAGAAGTAAATATAGGTCCCTCCACCCCATTTCTGCATTCGAAGAGATGATAAAAATGAAGTGGGAGTTTTCCAGTAAAAGCAAAAAGTTTAACAGAAAGCACGTGTCAGGGTTCCCTCCCAACTCTGAATTCTGGGATACAGATATGGGGACCCGCATGAAAGATCCCTAAGCTTATTTCCACCAGCTTAGGTTAAAAACTTCCCCAAGGCACAAATCCTTTCCTTGGATGGTATTGCTGCCACCACCAAGTGATTTAGACAAAGATTCAGGAAAAAGACCACTTGGAGTCCCTATTTCCCCAAAATATTCCCCCAAGCCCCTCCACCCCCTTTCCTGGGGAGGCTTGAGAATAATATACTAACCAATAGGTTAACAAAGTGAGCACAGACCAAACCCTTTGGTTTTTAGGACACTAAAAATCATCAGGTTCTTAAAAGAAGAACTTTATTATAAAGAAAAAAGTAAAAGAATCACACCTTCAAAAATCAGGATGGAAGGTAACTTTACAAGGTAATAAAAGATTTAAAACACAGAGGATTCCCCTCTAGGCTCAACTTTAAAGTTACAAAAACAGGAATAAACCTCCCTACTAGCGTAGGGAAAACTCACAAGCAAAAACAAAAGATAATCTAACGCATTTCCTTGCTATTACTTACAATTTCTGTAATTTTAGATGTATCATTTCAGGATCTTTTTAGGAGCTGGTTTACCTTCTTGGTCTCTCTCTCTCTCTGTCCTGAGAGGGAATCAACAAAGAGAGCACAAACAAAACCTCCCTCCCCTTCTCCCTAGATTTGAAAGTATCTTCTTTTCCCATTGGTCCTTCTGGTCAGGTGCCAACTAGGTTAATTGAACTGATTAACCCCTTACAGGTAAAATGATGCTGTACCTCTAGCCAGGAGAGAATTTATGTTACTGTATACATAAAGGTTGTTACCCTTCCCTTTATTTTTATGACAGCATGTAAATCTGCAGATTCTAAAAAATAAATTATCATGCACCAAGAGGAGACTACAGCCATCTATTTGGCAGGCAAAAGATTTAGAATTCTCTAAGTCTGAAATTTTCTTGAAAGAGCAACTGGTCAGGAGAAAAAAGAGAGATTTCAGATGAAAATGAGAAGCAACTGTTTCTATGCATATTCAGAAATCTACGGTGTGCATGTGTTTTTGAAAAGTTGTTTTCTGAGCTAACCAAGAAGTTAAACTGAGTGTGGGATTGTGGGAATTCCCCATAGTCTCCTTCCCTTCCCTTCTTAAAACACTTTCTTGTGGGAGAATGCCAACAAGGAGAATCCTACTTGTACTCCTGTATGCAGTGCATCCACAGCAGTGCCAGCAACATCAAAATGAAACTGATTAGGATTGTAACTACTGTATGGTCCATGTTAGCTGTGTTTCTTGCTAGTGTTGCTGAAAAAGGGTTAAGTGGAGGAAGTACTTTCTTGAGGAGGTTAATGGGAGCAGGAGGAAATTGATAATTTGTTGAAAGAAGTGTGCTGCCCTGGTGGTCTGTGGGCAGTACCTATTAATTTGGGATCTTGATAATTACCTCACTCAGCAGGTGAACATGGTCTGGGAGCATTATGGAAGCAACATGCTTGGCCACTGGATGGATGAGGTATACTGTGTGCCTCTCTCTAGTGATGCCTGCTGGCTGAATAGAATAAACATGATTGATTATAGTACTATGAGTATATGCAGTGTAGTTATAGCCATGTCAGTCCCAGGATATAAAAATAAACAAATTAATGGAGATATCCTATCTCCTAGAACTGGAAGGGACCTTGAAAGGTCATTGAGTCCAGCCCCCTGCCTTCACTAGCAGGACCAAGTACTGATTTGGCCCCAGATCCCTAATTGGCCCCCTCAAGGATTGAACTCACAACCCTGGGTTTAACAGGCCAGTGCTCAAACCACTGAGCTATCTCTCCCCATGAGGTGAGTGAGGTAGGTAATATCTTTTATTAGACCAACTTCTGTTGGTGAGAGAGAGAAGCTTTTGAGCCAAACAGAGCTCTTCTTCAGTCTGGGAAAGGAAATCCCAGCATCACAGCAAAATACAAGGGGTTGGAACAACAAGGAGATTGTTTAGCAAAAGTAATTAGCACATATTGTAAAGGACATTCAAGGTAGAGTAGCCCGTTAACACCACTGCAGTCATAAGACAAAGAGAGGTGGTTAGTGGGTTACAAGATTGTTGTAATAAGCCATAAATCCAGTGTCTCTGTTCAGTCCATGATTTTTGGTGTCTAGCAGACTAATTTGAATTTAAGTTCCCAGGCTCACCTTTTGAAAGTGTTACATAAGAACGGCCATACTGGGTCAGAACAAAGGTCCATCTAGCCCAGTATCCTGTCTTCCAACAGTGGCCAATGCCAGATGCTTCAGAGGGAATGAACAGAACAGGTAATCATCAAATGATCCATCCCCTGTCGCCCATTCTCAGTTTCTGGCAAACAGAGGCTAGGGACACCATCCCTGTCCACCCTGGCTAATAGCCATTGATGGACCTATCCTCCATGAATTTATCTAAATTCTTTTTTGAACACTGTTATAGTTTTGGCCTTTACAACATCCTCTGGCAAGGGGTTCCACAGGTTGACTGTGCATTGTATGAAGAAATACTTGCTTTTATTTGTTTTAAACCTGATGACTATTTCATTTGGTGACCCTTAGTTCTTGTGTTATGAGGAGTAAAACCTGTTGTGCAAAAACAACAAGGAGTCCGGTGGCACCTTAAAGATTAACAGATTTATTTGGGCATAAGCTTTCATGGGTAAAAAATCTCACTTCTTCAGATGCGTGGAGTGAAAGTTATAGATGCAGGCATTATATAATGACAACTCCCTTCTCTTCATATATCTCACAAGTGGAGAACCAGTGTTGATAGGGCCAATTCGATCAGGGTGGATGTAGTCCACTCCCAATAATAGATGAGGAGGTGTCAATTCCAGGAGAGGCAAAGCTGCTTTTGTAATGAGCCAGCCACTCCCAGTCTCTATTCAAGCCCAAATTAATGGTGTTAAATTTGCAAATGAATTTTAGTTCTGCTGTTTCTCTTTGAAGTCTGTTTCTGAAGTTTTTTTGTTCAAGAATAGTTACTTTTAAATCTGTTATAGAATGTCCAGGGAGATTGAAGTGTTCGCCTACTGGCTTTTGTATGTTACCGTTCCCGATGTCCAATTTGTGTCCATTTATTCTTTTACGTAGGGACTGTCCGGTTTGCTACAGGGATTGGTTCCTGGGTTGGTGTTTCTGTGGTGTGGTGTGTAGTTGCTGGTGAGTATTTGCTTCAGGTTGTGGGGTTGTCTATAAGCGAGGACTAGCCTGCCTCCCAAGGTCTGTGAGAGTGAGGGATCGTTTTCCAGGATAGGTTGTAGATCGTGGATAATGCGCTGGAGAGGTTTTAGCTGGGGCCTGTACGTGATGGCCAGTGGTGTTCTGTTGTTTTCCTTGTTGGGCCTGTCCTGTAGTAGATGATTTCTGGGTACCCATCTCACTCTATCAGTCTACAAGATCTTTATCAAGCATTCTTAAAACTACAATACCCACCTGGGGAAGTGAGGAAACAGATTGACAAACCATTGTACCTTGTATTTTGCTGTGATGCCTGGAGTTCCTTTCCCAGACCTGAAGAAGAGCTCTGTTTGGCTCAAAAGCATGTCTCTCTCACCAACAGAAGTTGGTCCAATAAAAGATATTACTTCACTCACAGTGTCTCTCTACTATGAGTATAGTCAGTTTCATTCTACAGCTGTTGCCTTTGAGAAATTGCTGTGAGACAGACACAGGTGGGAGGTGGTCAATGCGGGATAATCCAAGGGAAGAAGAGATGCGGAAAAACCGGGGGAGGAAAATGCAGATGCATAATCAAAGGGTGGGGGACAGAAAGTGGTACTGGTAATTGGTCTTGTAGACTAGATAAAACAACCTCTGTAATAACATCTTCCCCAATTCCCTTCCTTCCATTCTTTCTGCTTCCCAAGAATCTTAACTCTTATCCATCTGGAAGAATTCTGAGGGGGAAGGAATTTCCCTGAACAAAAATTATTAAATTGGAACTTGTCTGTAGTGACGCTAATGTTACATTTAATGTAGCTTTTTGATTGTGCATTGATTTTCAGAGTTCCTACCACGTGCTTACTTTATGTGATTAGAAGTCCAAAGGTTGAGTGATAGTGAGCACTGCTGGGCAAAATGTCTTTACTGAGTACTGGTAAGCTAACTATTTCAAAGTCCTGAAAATTCTGACAGTGAACACACAGATAATTGAGTAAGTTAATTAGAGTAACATGTATTGAGATTATTAAGCAGTTGAAAGCATTGCTGATATGAGTCATAGGCTGAGGATGCCCCTTGGTTTTGAATTGTTTTGCTTTATCTATTTGAGTGGCAATGGAGCCTTGTGGGCATAGGGCTGGGAGCTAGAAGCTACTGAGATCTAATCCTCATTCAGGTACTGACTTGCTGTGTGAGCCCAGATAAGTCATTTAACTTGTCTTGGTTGATTTCCTCATCTATACAATGGGTCTGATATTTACCTACCTCCACAGGATGGTGTGAGAATGAATTAATATAAACGTGTACATTATTTTGAAAATATAAGCATTATTAAACACTATTCTATAAACAAAATATCATTCATTACCCTGAGATTTCCCCCTATTCTAAATTGTTTCGGTTGTGTTGATAATAAAATAGGCCTGGGCATTCATAACTTGATTCTTGATACAATTGATGTTCTCATATTTTCTCAAACCAGCACAGGGAACTTAGTATTAAAGGGAGTTTCACAGCTAAGTTGTGTGTTGATTTGGAGTACAGGCTCCCCTTAGTCATGAAAGAGTCAAAGTATGCTCAAATACAGCAGATCACTCACAGAGATATGCACAGGTATATGAGAAATTGAAGCACATACAAAATGCTTTAGATTTGGTTATTTTTAATGTAGTATTAAGGGCTCATTTCCTGACTGCTTTAGGACAAATGAAGAGAAAATGGGAAGAAAGATTGAAGAATGTTGATGAACTAGCATCTCAATATAAAAGAAAGCCACTTTGCCCTGTTTACAGGCCACAGCTGTCCAAACCATGGCAACCGTGCTCTGTTTGGAATCTGTTTCGTCGACAAGCTCAAGCTTTTAACTATGCAAAAACCTGTAAGGAGGTAAGATATTAAATTGTTAGAAGGGTGTCTTCACTATTTAGAAACTTCATTTGTAAAGTTCTATTAACCTACAAAGTTCGCTTCAGGATTCTTTTGTTGTGCGGTCCTGATACATCAGGCAATTTTTTTCCCTTACAGGTCAACATGATGCATAAGTTGTAATATGCAGTAGTTCCAACATTAGACTGTGTTAATAGCTGTAATGAGGGCTAGTTCTAACATAAGACTCTAGATGTGTTGTTAATGTTTAATAGTAAAAGTGCTTGTGGGGAAGAAAGACCAAAGTGGTGGGATGTGACAAGGAAGGTCTGGCAAATGATGTAGGTGAGGGAAAGAGCCAAAATGACAAGAGGAAGCAGAAGAATGGGAAAGGAGTAAAAATCAAGTAGGAAGGAAGGAGAGAGAAGAGGACAGAGAATGAGGAAGGAAGAGGAAAAACAGAGAAGGTAAGATATAAGAGAGGTGGAGATGAATGAAAAGAGAGGCAAAAATATATCCCACAAGAGACAGGCAACAGCTCAGGCACCAAGAAGTGAAAGAGAAGAACCAGATCACCTGAAATGAACCCTCAGCCTAAGGTGTAACTGTTTTTGAAAGGATGAGCTAATTATTTATTTGTAATTACCTACATTTCATACTCTGCAACTTGATTGCCTGTTTTTAAAAAGAACTGTGGAATGTGCAATTTCCTTCTGCCATTTCAGCTATCCCGATAATTCTGCAGGTCTGACCTATTTCTGTATATTACACTAACATTTAATGCCTGTCAACGATATCCAGTAAAAGCACCCAGTGGTGTTGAAAGAATTTGCAACACTCTGTGCCCAATTCTCGTTGCTCCATAAAGCAACACAGTCATCTCCTCCATAGACAAAGAAATGATGCTATGTTGTGGTAGGAGGCATGAGGGCACATGTAGGCTCTTGAGGAGCCCTAACAGGTCTGGGGAAGAGGGGTAAGGAATGTTGTGATTCAAACAGGTATCCTTGTCACATGGCGGTTGTAGTAAGGAATTGTAGATCATTAACTAGTTTAAAATCAGCAAGGGGAAGAAAGGCAGAAAGAAGCCAAAGTTCACTATATTTAAAAATAGGGATTTTATATTAAAGTACCATATTAGGTGAATTACTTTGACTTAGAAAGTCAAGGTAACAAAATTCAGGTAATATTTATATCTGTCCTTCTAAAGACCCAGGGAGAAAGTGTCAAAAACACAAATGGCAATTAAATGAAAATCTCCACCCACCCTGTTTTATAGCATGAGATTGATCTGACTTGGCTTGATCTGAAGTCTAGCGGCAGCGCTTTGACATAGCTTGTGTAGTCGTGGCATAGCACTGGGAGAGAGCTCTCACAGCACTATAAAAAAAACACCTCTATGAGGGGAGTAGCTACCAGTGCTGCTGCCCACCTATCAGCAGGCACAGGTCATCGAGAAGAGCTCATTTCACCCTTCTGGCACCAGACAGAATGTAGTCTTGCAGAGGAGGCAATGTGATGGGGTGCACCGGGGGTGTGGTTCAGGACTAACTAAGAGTATGTCTACATTACCCATGTTCCAGCACGGCCGCGGCAGCGCTGTGACGTAGGCAGTGTAGACACGCTTTATTGCCAGGGGAGAGCTCTCCTGGCGATTAAAAGAAAAAAACACCCCAAACAAGCAGTGGTAGGTTTATCGCCGGGAGCACAGCTCCCAGCAATAAAGCACTGTCTGTACTGGCGCTTTTCAGTGCTAAAACTTTTGTCACTCGGGGGTGTTTTTTTCACACCCCTGAACGACAAAAAGTTTTAGCGCTGAAAGTGGCAGTGTAGACACAGTCTAAAAATAAAGCCCAGTTGGAGGAGAGCAGGTTTGTCTCCATAAAGAGCCAGGAAAGACCAGGTGGGAAGTGCTCTCTCCCTGGGAAGTAGCTGAAAAGAAGGTGGAGGGAGTGGGGGAGGACCAGACAGGTTCTCCAGAGGCAAGCCGAAAGCCTGACTGAGTTGGGGTTCCTGGTGAGCTGGAGCCTGCCATAAACTATTAGTTAAGGAGAAGTGTTCCAGCCCGTGGACTGGGGGTTGAGCGAATGGGAGAGGAGAAAGAGCAGCGGTCCTCAGCACAGGTGTACCTCTGTTGCTGCTGTCTGCTGAACCCAGCCTGGCTGAAGGTTTGCTTTCAATACATTTTGTTCTTCTTCTTCTTTAATAAAGGACTTTGTGACCCTGTAAAGTGATCTGACTGCAGGGCCAAATCACTCTGATGGTCAGAGAAGGCCACAGGACTATGTATGGGGAGAGGAAACTGAGGCACAGCTGCTGCAATGCCACAATTGGCATGGCAAGTTTGCCACAAGTAGTTTCTGGCATTACATCTCTCCTTCAGTCCCCCAGTTTTTGTTGCCTTTACAATCATATCTTCTTATTTTAAGACATTTTTCCTCTCCACTCTTACCTGCATCTCAAACCCACACAGATAACAGGGAGAACTGACTAAGGATCCTATCCTGCAGTTAGTTCCATGCAGACTGATTCTCTGAGAAGCCCCATTGACTTAAATGGAGCTTGGTGCAGGGGTCTGCCCGTGCAGAGCTTGTTGCAGGATCAGGGTCTGACTCACTATAGCGGGGAACAGTGCATATGACAAAGTGCAAAGTAAAATATTTTGAGACAGGTGTTACTAACCAACTCTTCAAATGTCATGAATTTCATTATAGAAGTTATGACTGTGTCAAAGCTGTTTCCTAATTATGTTGCAGTTTGGGAGCATTTTTCTCTGTAGGGTCACCTCTGGTTTTACATATAGTATGTAATCAAAAGAATGGTTTGGACATGATTTTGCTTGATTTAGGTCATATGCTGCTTCTCTCTTCAGTGAGAATCCTCTTCTCTGTACACTGTTTCTCTTCCAATTGATGTTACCTTGCTGCTGATCAAAATAAAATTTTACTAGGCAAATACCACTTGAGGGTTTGATTCAGATCTCAGTTACATCAATGCAAATCCATAGTAGCTTTATTGACTTCAGTCAGCTGCTCAAGAGTTACGCTGGTGTAATTTAAATAAGAAGCAGGCTCTTAATTAGCAATAAAAGGTACTTAGGTTTTAAAGAAAAAAAAGCCTAAGCCATCCTTTGATAGGTTGTTACTAATTAGAAAATAATTACTAACCTTTGATTTGAGAAATTAATTTCAAGCAAAAGATTTTGATTAGTGATCTGAAAAAGGAAATGTTAACTCTTTCTTTTAATTTAAAAAGGATGTTCATGTATTTGCTTTGGAAATGAACACAGAAGATGGACAAAGGTATTATCTTGTGACAACATATACAGAGTTTTGGTTTTATTACAAGTGAGTATTTTGAAAAAAGTACCTCTCAGCTGCTTTAAACTTCATCAGGGCTGGGGCTGGTATAGACCAGCTCTCAGAAAGCAGAGCACGATAACTGGCTCTCTGACACTGATCCCCTCAAATGTGCTACAGTGCTTGACCACTGAAGAGAATTGGTATCCCTAGTGAACAATCATCATCATTCTGGTGCATCAGCAGATAAAATAATTACATCTCCAGGAACCATTTTATATATAATTCTTAACAGTCATTTAACAGAAACATATCACATGATCAAGTTCTGATACTGAAATGTCTAGTAAAGGTCTACAGTCAACTTAAAAAAAAAAATGTTTTAGCAATAATGCATCTGATTATTAAGTGACAGATTTCTAAAAATCCAAATTTTTTATTTAAGCTCTTTACATTTTGCATTTCTCTCAGTTTGGATATCAAAATTCAAAGAAGTTGGTTTCACTTTCATGTATAGTTTTACTTTAAGGTTTTCAGCACTAATGGATTTATTGTTTAAAATTACTTTTTCCATTAGTTATTTTTATTCATGAAAACATATCTGTTAGTCTTAGGTGTTTGTAAGAATTTATTTTTTACAAAATCTAAATTTTAGGCTAAATGTATATTTATGGTGTTTCTTTAATTAGTCACAAAATTCATACTTTACGTTGTTCAGAACATAGTAGGGCTAGTCTTTAAAACATTTCAACAAGTGTTTCACTAAAGAGGAATAAAAATCTTTAGTTTTGTTCATAAACATGGGTGATGATTCTTAACTACTTTCTGTTTAGCAAAGAACATAAAACAAGACTTATGCATTGCTATGAAGTTATTCCTGAAAAAGCTGTTTGCAAACTGTATTTTGATTTGGAGTTCTATAAACCAGTGAATCCTGAAGCTGATGGCAAGAAGATGATTGCAAAGTTAATTGAGGTAAAACTGGAACAATAATTAGAATATAACATATTGTAGGTCTGTCTGTCTTGTTATGGACCTTAATGTGGATCAAAGAGAGAATAAAGTGAACAAATTTTCTTTATAGTTATTCTAAAGCTCAAGTTATCACAAATAAAATGAAAATTGATTCCATTTTTAGAGAAAATTAGAAACGCGTGTTTAGATATTGCTAGTTAAAGCAAAGTTTGTCTGGTTTTCCCGCTTTAGAGGAACAAGAGGCAAATGGTGGTTGGTATGACAGCATGTTCACCATAGGCCTGTGACATAGTAATTTCTTTTTCATGATATTGCCTCTGTAGAGTCACACTGGTGGATTATGTGCCCTGATACAAGAGCCATAGAACCAAAGAAAGCAGTAAAATTATTAGGAAGCCTACAGGCCTCCTGGGCTCTAACAAAAGATTTCACCCTCTATTTTTCCCTCAGTTCTTCTTTTTCCAGTTGTTTCAAGTCCCTTTTTTCCCCAGTGTGGTTTTTATTAAGCTTAGGCCTTTTCTGATTGTTATATAGTGTCACTCCTTGTTAGTTAATGGTTTTATTAATTAGCACAAATGTTTTCATATGGATTTGGTTTGGCTTATGGTGGGCCAGGACATTATCTCCAATGTGGCAGACAAAGAGACTAAAACGAGCTTTCAGAAATACACCTCCTTCTCTAGTAAAATATCCGGACTCAGATAAGTATGGAGGTTTAAGAGCATTCATCATCCTAAGTGCCTTGTGCATGCCTCTCGATAGGAAGGAAAGAAGCCACACACTGAATGAGGCCTTTTCTCTTGGAGGAGTCCTTAGAGGATCCACCTCCTTTGTAGACATGAGAGTCAGTTCTGAAATCTAAGGGATCCTCAAAATCAAAGAAGAAGATTGTTGGATCCAAAAGGAGGGATCTGAGGTCCCAAGATCTGAAGCTTTTGGACTCCTTGGATCTAAGGTCTTCACTCTGGCCCTAGATATAATGTGACTAAGTTGTCATAGGTTTGGATTGTAGAGTCTTCAATGCTGGTTTTCCCTGGAGCTGTAAATTATACTTTGGAAGCAGTGTAACAGAAAAAATTATAGATGAGGTGGTATATTAGGCTTTTAGGTGAGAAACTGGAAATTTGCAACAGTCTGCTACTGGTACCATAATCATACACTTATGCAATTTATAAGGTAAAATATGTGTTTGTATTTTGGTTACAATTTAATAAGCCATGAAACTTCATAGTCTAAAAAAACTGCATGTTCAAAAATATCTTTGAAATGAACGAAGACATAAAATCTGCCCATCTGTCACGATCTATGGGTACCTTTTTAGTTATTAAAAAAACAGAAAAAATAGCCTAATTATTTTTATTTTTCAGCTTGTTAGTAAAAAGCTGGAAGAACTTTATGGAGTTAAATGTTCAGTTGAAGATGTCTTGAACTTAGATTCCAGCACTGATGAAAAATTTAGCCATCACTTAATATTTCTGCTTTACAAGACAGCATTTAAGGATAATATTCATGTTGGTAAGCATATTTTCTTATTTCTAGTACATAAAAAGGAAATGTGTGGAATTTTTATATCGTAATAGTACAATCAAGCACTCAGATATTATAGTAATTGGGACCATAGGTGGAAACAAATACATATTTCCAGTTACATATTCGTGTTTTATTGTGCTTCAACTGATTTCCTGCTCATGTATTTTCTTTTGTTTTCTGTGACTAGTTGTGCAATTTCTCGTCAGCCTTCTACTTCAAGGAAACAGCTACTATCTGTGTGTGTGTGTGTGTGTGTGTGTGTGTATACTGTATTTACAGAACAAAGACATCACAAAAGCTGGTAAAAGGCTTGATGATGGTTTTACAGTTGCTTACTTATTTTGTAGGTTAAGGTATGTTTTTTTGTTTTTTTAATTGGCCGAAGTTAAACTTTATTGGCCAGATTCTTGAGTCCAGCTGAGCTATGTTCAGCCTAAGACCTTAGTGAAAGGACAAAGGCATAGCTTAAAGCTACCTTTGCATTAGCCTGATCTAGGGAACAGTGGGAAGCTCTTTGGTTCTTGACATAAGTTGGAATGTCTTCTAGGCTACAACAGCCCCTCATGGACCATTTTGCCAACCCAGGATTGGCAAAGCACAGTGGACTCCAGCCACACACTCTGATGCCACTTACTCTTGTGGGGCTTGGAGGAAGTAGTGTAGTGCCTCCATAGCTAGCTTTGGGCTAGCCAGAGAGTTTGCTATGCAAGGGGAACATTCAACTGTCCTTCAGGGAAGCTTTCTGGCTAAGTGCTCTGGAACGATACAAAGAAGCCAGACTGGAACCAAGAATCTGGCCCTAAATGCCCCTGTTGGCCCTTATCTTGCACCCATTGAACTCACTGGGAGTTTTGCTATTGACACCAGTGGGATTACAATAAAATCCTTCATTTAGTAAGAGTAAGAAAAGCTGCCTGGGAGTGATTTGAGAGCACAGGAGAGACAGGCTCCTTGCTCTCAGGCCTTGGCTACACTTGAGAGTTGCAGTGCTGTAAAGCCACCCCTAGCGCTGTAACTCACTCCCCGTCCACACTGGCAAGGCATTTGCAGCGCTGTATCTCCGTGGTTGCAGCGCTGCATGTACTCCACGTCCCCGAGAGGAATAGCGTGTATTGTGCTGCCGCTGCGGCACCAGTGTGGTCGCCCAATGCGCTGTGACTGGCCTCCAGAAGTATTTGGCAGTGTCCCACAATGCCTGTTCTAGCCACTCTGGTCATCAGTTCAAATTCTACTGCCCTGGCCTCAGGTAACCAATCATGTGATCCACCCTTTACATTTCCCGGGAATTTTAAAAATCCCCTTCCTGTTTGCTCAGCCCGGCGTGGCGTGGAGTGCTATCAGCGAATCTTTCCAGGTGACCATGCCTCCACGCACCAAGCGAGCCCCAGCATGGAGCAATGGTGAATTGCTGGACCTCATCAGTGTTTGGGGGGAGGAAGCTATACAGTCCCAGCTGCGCTCCAGCCGTAGGAATTACGATACCTTCGGGAAGGTATCAAAGGACATGATGGAAAGGGGCCATGACCGGGACGCACTGCAGTGCAGGATTAAAGTAAAGGAGCTGTGGAGTGCCTACCGCAAAGCCTGCGATGCAAGCGACCGCTCGGGTGCTCCCCCCGTGACCTGCCAATTCTACAAAGAGCTGGATGCGATACTTGGGGTTAACTCCACCTTCACTCCGAGCACCACCATGGACACTTCAGAGCCGGTGGGGGAGGGGGAGGAGGAGGAAGAAAACGTGAGTGAGGGTGGTGGGCCGGATGGAGACACCCCGGAATCCCTGGAGCCATGCAGCCAGGAGCTCTTCTCGAGCCAGGAGGAAGGTAGCCAGTCGCAGCGGCCGGTACTTGGTGGAGGACAAACAGAAGAACAGGTTCCCGGTAAGCGGGGTTTTTTTCGGGAAGGAATTTTTTCGGTGCGGGCTCTTTGGGAGAGGAGGGTTA